CCATAGAATGGTTTGGGTTGGAAAGTGCTTGAAGATCATCCAGTTCCAACTCCCGGCCATGGGCAGGGACACCTCACACTAGACCATGTGGCCCAAGGCTCTGTCCAGCCTGGCCTTGAACACTGGCAGGGATGGGGCAGCCACAGCTTCTCTGGGCAACCTGTGCCAGTGACTCACCACCCTCACAGTAAAGAACTTCTTCCTTATATCTAATCTAAACTTCCCCTGTTTAAGTTTAAACACACTACCCGTTGTCTTGTCGCTACAGTCCCTGATGCAGAGTCCCTCCCCAGCATCCTTGTAGGCCCCCTTCAGATATTGGAAAGCTGCTCTGAGATCTCCACGCAGCTTCTCTTCTCCAGGCTGAACAGCCCCTATTTTCTCAACCTGTCTTCATATGGGAGGTGCTCCAGCCCTCTTATCATCCTTGTGGTGCTCCCCTAGACTTGCTCCAACAGCTCCATGTCCTTCTTACGTTGAGGACACAAAACTGCACACAATACTACAAGTGAGGTCTCACGAGAGCAGAGGCAGGATCACCTCCTTCAACCTGCTTGTCACATTTCTTTTGCTGCAGCCCAGGATACAGTTGGCTTTCTGGGCTGTGAGTGCACACTGTGTCTTTCCCCCCTTCCTTCTTTACTGTAATTTTTAGCTTCCTTCCTTCTCCATAGAATAACAGTGTAGTGCCAACATTCCTTAGGTTTGCTCCCTTTCTTTTTTCTTCCTCACCTTCTATTCAACATCCTCCTTCAACATGAAGTTTCTTTTTCCCTTTTCTGTTAGCTGTTCTGTAACAGATAACAGTACAGTGTGATGCCAGGCAGAGGTATGTCAGTGGACACTAACAAGCTTATTTCCTGGAAGCAGCATAGCCCTGCTGGCACTGCATGCCATCTGTATCTCAGCAGCCTGAATTAGCTCGGGTTGCACACCATTTCCTGCTGTTTCTGGTATAATTCAGAGCTAGTTTTGATACCTGTCTAGAACTGGAGTAAAGGACAGATAAATTGTATGATCCTTCTGTTCATTGTTATGCTTCCTAACTGCTAACCCAAAACCAGAAAATACCATTTCAATAGTAACAGCAGGCAAAGAGCTTTAAAATGCAGTATGTCTCCTTAATGAAAAGATTTTCCGTCACACAAGAACATGGCTAAACAAAGATACAAAGGTACTATATGTCTCTGTAAAAAGCTGCGTTATCATTTAGATTTTGTTTTTCTTTCAAACAGGTTATTACTTCAAAAATGGAACATAAACCAAAAGGACAATCTGTTTTTTAAAAAATGCTCAGGTAAATACCACAAATAGATGGTAGTTTATGTATTTCAGTAGAAGGATAATATCTCATAACCCTACTGTAAAATGTATTAATTTCCAGCAGTGACTTTTCCAAAGTTGAAAACATTTGTAATGATTTTAGCTCTTAGCTGAGCTAGTCCACAGTATAACCTAGTTTACAAAAAGAACAGTTCAAAGGGAACTGTAGGGTGAAAGAAGCAAGGCACATACGTATTTGTAGTTATTAATGGTTTAGCTCTTTCGAAGAGCAGACAGCTAAACACAAGAGAGGGTTAGGACCAGATGCAATGGCTGCAGTAACAATTGTTACATGAGCTGCAGGATTTATCAGTTAAATGAACAAGGCTGACTGAAAAAGGCCCCCAGTAATAGTAAAGACAGTCTCAGCAAACACAGGACTGTTGTTACAAAGTTGTAGGAGAAGCAGCTGGACAAACTAAACCTCTGGCAGAGCCAACCTGCTGTAAAAATTACAGGAAAAAAGATACTGCTGGGTGGAACTACTTTCCTCAGCGTTAAGCACGATAGAAGCATCTGTCACAGAAGTGTTTGGGAGGAAAAAGTGGACATGCAGATGACTACAGAGAGTTGCACTGGAGAACTTAGGCCTGCCAAGATATTCATCAAAGAACTGGGTAAGGCAGATGTGTAGTGAGACTGTTTCTATAGCTGAGGTTTGTATTTTGGTTTACAAATAATTGCCCAGTCATTCAAAGAGAATGCTTGCTTCTTGGAGAATGGAACCTGGAGTTTGGTCAGATTATGTGCAGGATTCAGCATATAAAAGCTGATCACTGAAGAGAGATGCTTGGAGAGGGCATGGATATATAATGATCCTGTAGTTGCTAGAAAGTTGTTGCAAGCATGTACAGGCAGAGGCTAGTGTTCCACGACCATCTCTGTCTTTCAGCCTTTCATGGTAAACTATTGCTTGTGGGGTGTATACTGAGACATGCCTGTTAATATGCTTCAGAAAATATGTAGCGTTGTAGCATGATTAAACATGCAGGTAATGAAAACTGAAAGTTAATCAAGTTAATTTATATTGGTTTTCCATTACCATTTTTTCAAGGGTTATGGTGAGCCTATGCAGTTTATATATTTTGAATTGTGTTTTTAAAACTACTCGTGTGTTTGACTTGTAGGATTAAATTTTAGATGAAGAAAAGATGGAAGAGGTTTGGAGTGGTACCACTAGCCTGCTTCCTTTCAGAATGCACTTAAAGCTTCCAGCTTCAAGCAGAAAGAGGGAAGATGTATTCTTTGTTGTCTCGACTTCTGGAAAGAGAAGTTACAGATCAGTGCTGCTGGCTTACTCCACTTGCAGACTTTGCAGGACTCAAATCAAGCCCTGAATTCTGTAGAGTTCAAACATAAGTAGAGGATATTTTTCAATATAACTAATGCAAATTTTAAAAGTGTATGTTTTTCTAATATAATTAGTACTTATACAGGGTCACAACTTCTGTTTCTCTTCTATTCTGCTGCATCATACTAATAATTGCTTCAATCAATTGGTGGTATGGCCAAGATAACTTTTTCGGCAGTTGGTTTGAGACTTCTTTGCTGGTGCTCATTATCCCTAACAGATGGGGCATGTGGCTGTGATACTAGAAAGAGAATTCTTCATGCCAGTTTTGCATGGGAAGTCTAAGAAATAACCTTAGTGCAGAAAAAAGGCTTGGAATAAACATTTTTGCCAAAGAAGCTTGCTAATAATTATTTCAGCACATTGTTCTTTATGTTGGCAGTAGAGAAAGATTTAGAGTTGATAATTGAGAAATCATCAGACATGCAAATAAGTAATATCTTGTTGCTGATAAAGCCTGGTTATGTTTGTATAACTGGACACTGCCAGTCTTCTAAGCAATTCTGTTAGTTTCTTATATGTTTCCTGTCCTAAAAGGATTAAAAATGTTAGCTAGTACCATATATGAAAACCAAGTTTAAGCTAACTGCAGTGCTAAAGCATATATTTTTCTACTTGATTTATGAATATGAAATACACTTCGTTTTTTTTACTGAGAAACTCTGCAATGACAGTTCATTGGTATTTTGTAGATGTTTACTGTTGTCTGTTAGAGGATTAGGAGTTCATCTCAGGTGTTTAATACATGTAATATTTAACAAAAATGGATTCAGGCTGCGAAATTCAGATACTTGATCTGAATTTGTTCGGGAGCCATTTGCATGTCCTGAGTGCCAGCTGATGGGAATGACTGGATATAGCTTGATATGGGAAATAATATCCTTTCTGTTCCTCCATCTGTTTCATCTCCATAAAGAACTAAATATTTTCTACCATAAAAGCCTCTTTGTAATGTATGCTCTGCACCAGCTGACTCCCACATTCCATGTTAGTGTCGGCCTACTGTGGAATACTGCAGTTAAAATGGTGTTTATGCATAACTGCAGTTAAAATGGTGCCATGCATCATCACTTGTGATTTTATTATTATATATGTTAGTACATGTGTAACTGTTGAGATGCTTTGATATGCAAATGTTAATTGTAAATTAATAGGATTAGTTACATTTCCATTTGGGGTATGTAAGTATTTTATGATGATATATACTTGTGCAGGTATGTGAAATTATATCAAACTTTTTGTGAAATAAGATAATGCACATAATATTTTGCAAATGTGGATAAGCACTGGAGTATCTCAGTGTTGTGTTAGATTGAATTCTGTTGAACCTCTTGTTTACAGCCTTTTGTTTTTCCCTGTGTAGGATTTGGTGTTCAGAGATTTTACTCATTCAAAACAATTCAATTTACACAGTGTCTCTGTAGACTGATCGTCAATGGGTCTATTGTAAATTCACTACACTAATGCTCATCCCATCACTCAGCTGTTTGTTTTGGTGTAGACTGGTCATTTGTTTCTGTGGGCAGAGCGAGTTTCTCTGGTTCCATTTAGCATGTTCCCAGACTTACAGTAGGTGTTAGGAATTCAGGAGTCTTCTCTTTGCTGGTGGTGTGAGCTCGGGGGGGGTTAAGTCTTCTGTTCAAGAAAAATGCAGCTGAAAAGCAGGGAACAAAGGATGATATTAGAATTTGTGTAACCACAGATGCTATGTAATAGTTGGGTGTTAGAGTATTTAGCCATTACATCCTGTCCAGCTTAACTTATTTTGCCTCTCTCTGTGGTTCTGAAGCCTTAGTCTTGGCAGGCTGCTCAGTCCTGCTCTGTTCAGAGCAGCTTCTTCCTTTAGAATACAGTTTCTGTCTCCTGGAAACTCCCATCCTACCTGCTCCCATCAGTTTTAAGGAGATGGTTCAGTTGTGATGACCTGACTAGTCAAGTGCTCTATAAGTGACTTTTCAATATTGGTCTGCCAGGTATATGTCGTTTGCTTCCCAGAATGCAATTCACTGTATTCATGACACAATAAAAGAGGAGTTTCACAATTAACAAAGATACGTATTTTTTATGGCAGGTTGTTTGTAAGTCATGTCATTGCCATGACTCACTCAATATGTTGATTTGCATGCAATGAATTTAACAGCTAAACCAGTTGCTACCTTGAAGTATGTGTTCTGCCACCTATCAGGAGAGTGCTGTTTTCACAGCAAGAGTGGGTAACTGTGAATAACTATCAGTTAGAATCATTAAATTCTGCCCAGAATTTGCTAGGTATATTAGGCTGACCTTGTACGCCACTAGTCTATATGCTTGCAGTGATTTGGGCTGCCTTTTTGTTTGTGACCACAGTCTGTCTGGTACCAAGGCTCTTTCTTAATAGAGAAATAACTAGCAAACAACAAATCTCTCTTAGAGGCTTTTTCCTTTTCCCTACTTGGAAAGTTCTGCAGCTTGTGTTAACAATTTCTGGGTTAATAATAACAATAGAGGTGAATGGAACCTTGTAAATTAAACTTGGTAGAAATTATGACAAGATTTTAAATGGTATCTGACTGGCATAGTGCAAAATAGATCCTCTTCTTCCATCCATCCTAAGCCGTCTCCCATGCTCTTGTAACTCCTCCAGTATTTTTAGGTATGAAAACGAACCATGTAGTAGTCATGATGATCTGTACTTCTCTCTTCCCTTGCAATAACTGTTAGAAAACCTTTAAATTAAAATGAAACCTATTAGGATTGGTCTTCAATAATATTTTTAAAACCTGTGTATATATATAGCTCTTGTGGCTTTCTTGTTTCCTCTGCAATTCCTATATGTAAGAAGCCAAGCTGTCATCCCTGCCTATTATATAGAAACATGCCTTTATTCAATACAAGCTAATGCAGGATTTTTATTTATGATGCATTTGTTTTCCTTCCCTTCAAATATTGCATAAAGTGTCTCCTTCTCTAACCACACCTGAGCGCTGATAAAGGGCATATTCATTGTTGCTGTTAGAAGTTGCTTTGTTTCTTCCTGGGATTCCACCCTGACGTGGCAATGCAGTCTCACAGTTATCATTTCATTTGACCTATAAATCACTCTGTGCAGCATGCAAAGCAACCAGGAATGCAGAGTAAATGAGAACAACGTAATTTGAAAAGCATCTTAGATGACACATTCCAAGGATGTGCTTTGAAGTATCTGTGTGTACATGATTCCTTCCATGAGGAAATGGTGAAATATGCAGAATCCTTACACAAATACACAAAGACATAGATAAAAGGAAGGAACAGATTGAGGATGTTTATGTATGTTAATGAAAAATTACAGGATTTAAGAAGAAAAACAAATTTAAAGTGCTAGATAGTGTTGGTTTTAGAAACACTGTAACTGGTAGTATTAAAAAGAAAAAGCCATTAACAGGTGAGAGGATATGAAAAAAACAGAAAAAGCAAAGTATCTTATCTACTAAATGTACTTTTGGAACTTTGTTCTTTGTTCTTGTTATTATATGAAAGAGAAATGTATAATTACATTGTTATACAGAGAAGAATTTTTTACAAAAGACAAGCTACTGAAATCCATGGTGATGAATGCTTAATATCTTTCTGTAATGAAAAAGTGAGAGGGAACTTACTGCCCAAAGGATCTTAACTTAGTCCTAGCATACAGTTGTTCTTTTGCTGTATTAAGCATCAAAAATATGTCTTTTGTCCAATAACAGGAATAAGGATCTGCATCTTCTTTTCCCGTCTGGCATGCACTTACAGTGTGACGTGGGTAAGTTGTTTCGCCTCTGTATCTTACTTTTCTAATTTAGAAGGAATGCGAAGAACATCGTGTTACCATAAAGTATTTAATGTTGCATTTGAGCGATGCATACTTTGGGTATTTAAATTAAACCTGTTGTTGCATTAATATCATGTTGGGAAAATCTTTTAAGGACAACTTCATTCCTTAGAAATACTTGATATGTACCTATGTTTAGCATTTGATTGTATGAAAAATAAACATCCTTAAGTTTCCTTTCCCAAATTCAGATCCCATGATTTCTCTTTTTGAAGCAAAAATTCTAAGCACAGTGAGGTATGATGTTTAGAAGAGAGTTCCATTATTTTCCATTAACATTGCAAAGCCTTCTGATTTAAATGTTTTTTAACATTTTCTGTCATCTCTTACTTAAAATGTGAATATCTCACTATTGTCACTTCACTTTTTTCAGTTCTCTGGTTTAGACTCAGTCGTTGTTATGAGGATGATTGGTTTTGTAGTCACAAAGAGCTAAGTGCTTTTAGTCAAAAGTACTTACACCCTACAACAGATCTGTTAAGTCTTCTTTGGGGTTGCAGAGAGCATCAGCTCTCTGGTACGCTGTCCAAACAAGTCTCACCGCTCTGAGTTCATGTGATTGCATCAGTGCATATGATTGGCCATCTGGATGTGAACAAGTGCATAAGGCTGTCTACAAACACATGATGAGCTTAGACAACTCTACTAATTTACAGCTTAGGTATAGAATTTTTAATAAGTCAAATGAGAGAATATTTTTATGCTACACTTATTTCAGAAAAATCCTACCTTTGAGATAGATAGCTTTAAAAGAGAGCTTAGTCTTTTAAGCTTTTCTGCTATTCTTCTGCCCTTGGGCGCTGTAGAACATCCCATCCTGCCTATGACTCATGCCAAACATCCGGCTGTCATTTTAACTCGGACCTCTGGCTAGCTCTTCATGCTTTGGTTAAGGCTTCTTTCTGCATAGTGTCTTCCACAAAATTAAAACCCCTCATTCAGGTTCCCATTACCTCGCAGCTGGAACACTGCTCCTGTTCTGTGACCTGAAATGCAGACCTGTGAAGTTAATGGGACCTGCTGAATGAAAGGGACAAAGACCCAGTCTCCACACATTTGTCTTCTTGGCCATGATCTGCACCACCTCTCTGCATTCCAGTACCCAGCACTGATGCCCACAGAATTAGCACAGGAATGAGTCTGTTCCTTTGTATGCTGCAGACAGGTAGAGTCTTCTCATTCTTATGTCAAATTCTTCTTACTCAATTCAGATTTATCAGTGCACCTATCAGCTTGTGATTTCAGATCAGCTCATGTAAGCTTACTAGATTCCTCTGTGAAACAGTGCAATGACATTTTAACATGGCTTCACAGTCTGGATGTGAGTAACATTTTGATAAGCCAACAACGTTTCAGAAGTGTGGGCCTTCTCCATATAAATAAAGAGGTAAACTCGCTGACACCTTCCTGTTATATTTTATCCGTTCATCTCCTAGAAGCATGGGACGTTTTGTTTATTTCTGTGTGCCTACATGAACTGAGTGATTATAGGAGAAAAAGTAGAAAAGGGCTGTATAGAGTTGTAATTCAAGACCAAAAGCAGGCTTAAATCTTAATGTAACAGCTTTTCTCATAACTTCTATTTCTTTCAAACAGACTTAGCGGGATACAGTGAATGAAATAAGGCTACCTCTCTTCTTCATTAAAGGTAGGAGAATAAGTGTAATAGGAGAGGTACAAAATACCAGTTCTGAAAGCTCTTTGGAGGTGTTTCTTCTTGGCTAAGGTAGAACCCGAAGCCAAGTTAAAATGCTCTTCACTGATTTTCACTGAGCAATGAGGTATTGATATGCTATGAATAAGCTGACCAGCTGCTTTGACTTGCGGAGGAATTCTGTAGTAGTCCAGAAATAGAAGAGCCACTTTCTTTCTCTGATTCAATAGTAAAAGCTGTCAGTACTGTGGACAGCTCAAAACAGAATTTGGTATTCCCAGGGTTTTACTCAGCTGGGTTTCACTCATCTGGCAATCTGAGAAGGACAGATTAACTTGACAGGTTCAAAGAGTCTAGTTCTAATGCAGACTACAGGGACTTAAATACCTAATATGTTACGCTAAAATATATTTGCCTAGGTGTCAGTTCGAGTTCTTGTCAGCACATGAACATTACATTAAATTTAAATGGCAAAGTCACCTGTGAACTTGAGATATTTCTAACATGCGAACACTTAAAATTGTAGTCACTTAGATTTGGGAGTGTTTCTTTAGCATCTTAACTACTGCTTCGAGACCTAATTTTAGACACACCCACTTTATAATGTTGGCTTTGGTTTCTCATTGTTTAACTTGCAAAAGGATATGTGTTTTAAACCCCTTAGGATTACAGAACTTCTATAATTATTAATAATTTAATTCATTATTCATTTTAAATGCATTATTTAACAGAAAATCAACTTTTCCTGTTCTGTTGTGTACCAGTTAGTTTGCTGTCTGCACTTCATTCATCTTGGAAGCCAGAGAGCAACCCTTGTGGCTACAGTTAGGTCTGTTTGCAAATACATAATTGGGTTGGGGATGAAGATAGAAAAGTCAGGATGAAGATAGAAAAGTCAGGATGCTAAGTACCACTGCCAAACAAGATTTTATGTTTCTTTATTCAAATTTAGATTTAAAACTGCAGGTAGAAGGAGACTCTACTCTTAGGTAAGATGTATCACACCAAAGTTTCTGTGAGAGGTTTGCTTTTAAACATTAGTGTTAAGAATTTCTTTCCTATTTTCTTTAGTTAAGAACCTTTTTCTCTGTACTTTATAAAAACAGTGTGAGATGTTTTAGTAATCTAGTACAATTTATCTACAGAATGTTGGTACCAATAGTGTATTTGTGTTGTCTAGTGTCTTATCAATACTTTTACCAGGTAATAGTAAGAGATATCATCCTACTTAGAAGGGTCTAATGTGGAGAAACTATTTCCTTTTTCCTGAAAAGGAACACCAATTATATGCACATTAAGCCCTGCCCTTTTTTGGCTCCCAGCCCAGCCACCATCTACAAAGGAGCAGGAACAGCAAAAGGGCCTGAGCACACCTGAACATCTCTGTTTGTCTGAGAGTACCGGATGCCCTTGTGTTACTAATTGTCCAGCAAAGAGAAATCTCACCATCATACTTGGACAGGAAGGACTGGGAGAACGCTGACATCCAGGATTCTACCAAGGGTACTTACCTACTACTTTAGCTGGTTTTTAAAAAACTGAAGTGTTTGACTCTAACTCTTTATGGAAGTATTTTGTGCATATCTAATATTTGAATTACAGTAGGGGATCTAAGAACAGCAAACACTGCATGCACTGTGTAAGATGTATCTATGCTCATCATGCAGAATAGATTAATAAATCAAGGAAGCTAGTGATAAGTATTTTCTTAGAGTAAATTATTTACATTCAAAATTGGATTATAATTTTTTAATTCCATGAAACAGATTAATATATTAATGCTATTAATGCTTTCTAAGAAAGAGATTTCTAGCGAAATCTTTAAACTTTTTAATACAACCTCCATCTTACTTAAAATTTAAGGAGCTATTAATAACAAGTATTCAAACATCTGCCATTTTTTCAAATATATCTTTTTATGAATTATGTCACAAGCTTGACCTCAGGGTATAAAAATGTGCTAAAAATGTGCTTTTTCAGAGAAGACAAGGCAAAATAATTTTATATGTCTTAAAACTACTCTGTGGCATAATCCAGAGATGCCAGTTTAAATTTCATTGACTGAACAAGAAAGCTTACTTGGTTTAGTTTTATTATGTTATTTCTAGTTTAAACTTTGTTTGGAAATGTGGATTATTTTTCACTTTTGAAATGTCAGGATGTTTTTCAACATAAGGAGCTCATATCTTTTCTACTGTATTATGCCACTCAGTTCACTGAATTTAGTGAGTTGACACTGGTGTTAAAACTGCCTCACAGCACGGAGGATCTGGTACTTACTTCCCTGTGTCTGAAAGCTAAAAAATATATAAAGTAAGAAATATATCACCAACTAAACTGTAAAAAAACCCCTAACTAAGCAATGGCAAAACCAGTCTGCAACCTTGTGTACTGTAGGCTGCATTTTCTGTTGCGTTCCCAGTATTTTTCAGTCACCCTGGAAGTGATGCAGCTCCCAGTTACCAGTCCTGGCCATGCATAATCTCTGCTGAAGCCTAGCATAAAAGACTGAGAGCAAACTATGCTTAGCTACCTAAGATAAGCAGCCCAGCTGGTGGAATATTATCTACTCTCATGCGTGGGGATGTTGCTGAAAGGACCCACTCCAACTATGAGAAAACCATAATAATCTGACAAAATTGGGTTTATATTCCTATATTAGACTGGCAGGCACCCGGTTTGGCTCCCACTTTACAGCAGCTTAATTTAACAGTTTTCGAATTTATTTATTCTAGATTTCTATCTGGGGACATAAGAGCCTAGATCCTAATGTGCAAAGGCCATATGAGGTATGAGGACAGAGTGGCTGTCTGTGTGAAAAAATATCCTGGACTAATTTCTTGGAGTATATTGTGATCTGAAATACCAGTCACATTAAATGCAGAGTATGAGTGAATTTCTGAAGTGATTATTGTAGGATAAATTCATTTTTAATACAGAACAAAGTGTACAGATAGGTAACACCTGTGTAATGGCTTATCACAGAATGATATTCTATTGAGTTTGCCCAAGTAGATGAACCCACAGGGCAGATGGGTTCTCTTCTGTTCCCTGTCAGTTTAGCTGTATATGAGTGCCCTAATGAGAAGAATACGGACAAAAGTTAGTAAAAGCTGGACAAAAAAGTAACCAGAAAAGTTTAAAAGGATAACTGTGACCCAAATGTGAAGTAAAGGGGATTTAAAAGCAGAATAAATCCTTTCTTATGTTCCTTATCCTTTTTTTATGTTTTTCATGACTAGTAGGCTAATAGCTCTTCATCATTAATATATCTGAAGTCAGTGAATTTTCAGGGATAAAATGTTTAATATACCAAGCATTCAAAATCATAATTGTACCTGTTAAGGTTAGGTAACTATAATGTCTCCAAAATCCTGCAATTTCTCTTAATTTCTATAAAATATTAAACTTGTGAATATGAGGAAAATACTAGATCTTGGAATATAAAAGCACTCAGACTCATTAGTCATTGTACATAGAAACACCATCACCAAAACCATTGATTTATACATTTTAAAGATGTTGAGGTAATAGAAATATATAAATAAATATTATAGTCAAGAAAAGAGCATTGTAACATGAAAGTTCCTGAAATTACCCAGATCTCAAAGTATCATGCAGGATTTTCAAGAGATCTTCTGTCTTGCAGTCGTGATGCAAGAAAGATCCACAGAAGAGCTCCACAGCAGCCGACCATGTGAGAGCAACCTAAATGAGCATGCTGGACTACTGGTTAACAGAAGCAGAAAAACAATGGTGACAGGAGGTGGAGGCTACCTGGGATACAATCTGGGATGTGCTCTTGTTAGGTCAGGAATTGCTGTTGTTCTGTTCGATGTACGGAAACCTAAATGGGAAATTCCGAATGGAGCAGATTTTTTCAAGGTATGTTGCAGTTACATATTTAATAGCAGTGAATTAAGTTCTTCTACTTTTATACACATCCACAAGGCTCCCTGTTAGGGATTTTTGATGAAAGCATTTACTGAAAAGCCTTTAAGGACAATAAGAAGTCATGGTAAAAGGTCCTCATGTGCCTAAGTAATCCATTAAGAGATAGCAGAGTCAGGGTGGTCAGTTCTCAGTGTCACCAGTGAAGTTCTAGAGTCCTGTGTTGGGAGGTGCCATTCAACACACTTGTAGCTGACACAGGTGAAGAAGTTTAGTGCTCGGGGAGGTTATTTAGAGTAGAAAAGTGAAAAAGCAAGACAGGGCAATAAAAGTGATCACAAGTTTAGAATGACTGCTGTGCAGAGAATGACTGAGGAAATAAGGACTTTCCAGTCTGGGAAAGAGATGACTTGGGAGTAGGAGAGCTCTGCAAACTGTAAGTGACACTGAGACAGATATATATTGACTGTTCACTGTCCTTTCCAGTATAAGAAGGAAGGGCCATCAGGTGAAATGAGGAGTCAGTTCAATACAAACAAAAAGAGCTTGTTATTTTCATGTAAATCCACACAATTTGATTTAAGTTGATGAATTGATGGCAGTTTACATCTTCTAAAGGAGAACAACAGTTTGGGGGGGGTTAAATTCAATTTTTAAAAGAATATTTTAAAACAATAGATATCAGAAAGTATTGGTGAATTACCTAGGAAATGGAACTATGGAGTCCTGGTAAATAAAGTGGTAAGTCACCTCAGAGATCTGAGCCTTGAACAGTGATTCATAGATTGCTAATACTGTTTACACTGGTTAGCTATTTTAGCGTTTGATGGAAGTTGGAAAAGTATAAGTCACCCATATTTGTGAAATTCTTTGGCAACCTCAGAAGAAAAAGGTTGAGAGCTAAAGACTTATTAGGTTACCTCTTAAAATTACCTCCAGTCATTTCTTTTGTGATTATTCTTTCAATTTCATTACAGTAAAATAAAGACTACCCAATAATCAGAATACCACAATTCTGCAAACAAATGTATTTTTACTGTTATCTGTATGTATGTGGATTATTATTCATATAGTATTACCAGGTATACAAAAATGTAATACAATATCCTAAGCACAGCATAGCAGTTGATACTAGATATAGTGTATGTGTATTTAATACAGTACAGTGTTCAGCAGTATGTAGCATTTCAAATAATGTGATTATAATACAGTCATGTATACTAATACAACATTAAATGTATACAGTGTGCATTTTTTTGTTTTAATCTTGTACAAAACTGTAATTAAATTTATCATTCAGTGCACCTAAAATAAAGCTTATATCAACAGAGTCATTTGTCCACATTGCATGAGTTAGACCTTAAGGTGCTAAGCAGAAAGGGGTTCTTTTATTTGGTGGTTCACTGGCAAACAGCTGAAAAAAAATTTTTGTCCTTGAGGCTTGATTCTCCAGCCCTCAAGCATATGCTGCTCCCATTCAAGTCAAACAAGTTTTGTCAGCCTGCAGGCTGCAGGACTAAGTGTGAAAATATGCGTTATAATTGAAGCCAACAAGAGTCATATTTGTTTTGCAACAAAATACTGACAAAATTCTTAGTCATGGATTTTTCTCCATGTTCATAATGTTTTATTTAAGGCTAGTTAAGTATTGTGAAAAACAGATCAGAATTACTTCAGATTTCCTTTGCTAGCCATAGTTAATACTAATTCTGTAGAGACGGTAATGAGCTCTACCAGTCAAAAATCCATTCTTTTCTCATTTTACAGGGTGATGTGAGGGATTATGATGCAGTGTTCACAGCATGTGAAGGGGTCGACTGTGTTTTTCATGTGGCTGCATGTGGAATGTCAGGATTAGAACAAGCAAGTACAATTTTCCTAACATTTTCTTTCATTATTCTTGTGAAAGCAAAAATTTCTCTGCATGTAGCAAAGAATGTAATTATATATTTATGTCAGACAGAAGTTAGTTATAAAGGTCAGGTCATCCATATGTAATAAAAGTCAAAGCATGACACTAATGTACTACACGAATTACTCTAGAAAAAAGAAAAGCATCTTGGATATGAATGCATATCCTTTTCCTTTGATCTGAAGAAGACTCACAATATTGCTCTAGAAATAATATGGATGAATTTTCTTCTTGTGAGTTTATGAGGAAATAGACCAGCAATTCAATATAGATACTCTAAGAACAGTGATATCACAGAGCGTGTTACCAAAAAAATCTTGAAACTACTAATTTATTTCTAGGAACAGCTTGCCACTGGAACAAGAATTTGTGAAAGCTTTCAGGGGGCATAACCCCTGCCTGTAATTCCTGTTTCTGTATCATGGATTATCTGGGGTGCGAAAAAAAAAAGAAATTGAAGTGTTGTAATTTTCTTTCAGATGCATTTTACCTGTCATTTTTCAGCTTTATTCATGCACTGAAAAAGACAATAAAAATGAGAACTGCTAGAAATCACTATGTCAGAAGAACACAGAAATGTAACACATACATCACAAAAAGGCCACAGCTGTTCTAGATGTCAATTATAACAGTCATATTGTGAAAGCAACTTGTCTAATTAACTGATTTTGTGCAAACTCTGTTTCTAGCTTCAAAAGAAAGATCAGATTGAATCCATAAACGTGGGAGGCACAAAAATAATAATAGATGGTATGTACCTAGGTTTTTCTTTCTTTGCATCTGAACCAAACCATGCATTTAAAAAACTTCTAATTGGATGTTTCCTGTGCTGATTTGGCAGTAAAATGAGGCTCTTCTCTCCCTCATTTCAGAGTATGATGTAAAGGTAGGTGTGCAGATCCCATTAAAACTTTTAGATTTGCTGCTGGTTTGAACTGGGGATAGGTTTTCAACCTGGACTTCATTCCTTGGCAGGCCAACTTGAGCTCTCCTTCATGTACTGCTTGTGTTTTCTCTTTACTCCATGTAATGGAGACATATTATCTTCTTCCCTCTTAGAATAACGAGAAAAATTGTACTGTTTGTTGTGCTGTAAACATTTTGTAACAGGAGCCATAGATGTGCTAAGTATATTTAGCTACGATTTTATCACATTAATATAGAAAATTTTCTATTCTTTCCAATCATCTATCTGAATATGATAATTTTTTATTACATTCTGATTTTTAAATCCTGTCTCTGGAAAACGTTAGTAGGTTTCTTTCTATATATTCAATTTAAGGGGAAGTATTTCAAAGTGTATTGTAAATAGCAAAGTGACTTTCTCTTTGCTATTCCCTCAAAAGTCAAATGGCAAAAAAAATAAAAAAGCAAAATGACAAAAGCAGTTTTTATTTAGGCCCATTTTAGACCCTATTTTTATGGAAAAAAAAACCCCAGAAATAATTGTAGTGAAGTGGTAGGCAAGTAAAACTCTAAAGGAGTTAGAGGGATGAAGTTGCCACATTTCCTTCTTCTTACCCTGACCTCTGAACACACAGAAACATGTCATGTCAAATTTCCATAAGCTCCCAACAAAGCAAGTATCTGGGAGGAGCTTGAACATGTTAATTTACATTTAATAGTAGACTTTATTATTGTATTTTGTTCCAAATATTTAGAACACAGTAATTAGTTACTATTTTCAAAATGAGCCAACTGGGCTGACTGCTCTGGAGATTCTAAAAATTCCTGATTTTGCATATTAATTCATTTAAACTTTAGAAGTAAAGTTCAAGTAATAAAACGTTTGGTGACCACAGTATGTAATACTTACATAGTAGATATTTGGGATGAAAAATTCCAGCTGAATGAAAGGTGATACTATATTAAATTATAAGCTAATGTTAAAGTAGTATTCTTCTATAAATGTGATGTTTGCTTTCAAAAAGAAAAGCTGCCAGTTCATGTGTTGTTTCTCACTCTGTATTTTTGTTTTAAAATTATTTCTTTTAAATAATTTATTTTAATAATTTACAATTCACCACTATAGTCTGCAAACAAAGAAATATCCCTAGACTGATATATACCAGTACAGTGAATGTGGTATTTGGAGGGAATCCTATTGAAGAAGGAGATGAAGAAACTGTGCCGTATTTTCCACTGGAAAAGGTACTTGGTTCATGCCATGACATGTGCTCTAATGGATAGATTATGCGAAGGATGTTCTGAGAGCAGCAGCTGGTTTACTGAAGATTGCATCAAATTCCACAAAATTATTTTTCATTAGTAAAAATAGACCTATGATCAATGAAGAAATACTCAAATCATAGTGGCTTTAATACTAGACAGGTCTGAGATGATAAAATACCTAAGAATTACTAAGAAAAGTGGAATGCGACATTTAACAAGAATATTTGAAGAAGAAGGGCTTTCAGGGGACCATCAGCTATGTAAATACTGAATATTATAAGCATAATATGAATATTAACTGTGAGCCTTTGCACTGAACAATATTGTTAAATATCAAATTTTACATCTTTATCACACAGATTTTTGTTTCTTTGAAGTTCCCAAACCTTGCTTTCTAGCTGCAGGCCAGGCAGTAGTTACAGTCACTTCTGGGCTGCTCAGAAATACCATTTCCTTCTTTACTATGATCATTTAAGAAATATTTTCAAGCTGAAATCTGAAGCTCTGCATTCTGGCCACTCTTCCTATTTGTTCTTTCCCGCTCCCAGCACACTGCCTGCTGTTAAAAGCTGTAATTTCAGAATGTACATCCTGTGTCCAGGAATCCTAAATAGGACCAACTACTACTCTGCCGGTGCCTCCTGAGACACTTAGTTGTATGTGTCAGTTTGTGCACAGCCTGCACAGCACCTTGGAGACTTCAGAGGAAGCATTTCAGGAATTTGCTATTAGTTGCATGTGTCTGAGCCCTAATCGTATGTGCTCTCTATGGTGGTCATGTAATAGCACACACCAGAGAGAGGTGGGGCATGGAGGGAGGTGAAGCAGGTGGATTAAGCCACCTGAGAGTAGAAAGAGTTTCCATGGTGGGACTTTCAGGTATAATTTTCAACATAAAGTATGACAATACAAAATTCAACAGATACATCAATATGTGGGTAAGTAATCAGTGAACCAGCATGTGCTAACTGTGTCCAGAATCCTCTTGTCTAAAAGATACTGCTGGAAGAGAACTATTTATAACTGCCCAAATAGCTTCAATAAGAAATGGAAACATTTTTAGGAAAGTCTGACTTTTTAATTTCATATTTAGCTTAGTGGGAAAAAACTTTTCCAAGCTCAAAATGGATAGGGTTTTTTCAAAATCAAATTACCTGACCCACCAGAACATTTGGCTTTATATTATTTTTTGTTTCAGTATATCCAGCACAAAAAGTGAGTTAAGTGAATACTAGTGGACTTAAACTCATTCTAAAGCTAAACTTGTGCAACAAAAATGTAAATCTGATAAGTTTCTTTCTCATTAAAAAAGTATGTATTTGCTAAATCTTGTTGTTATTTCTAGTTCAGTTTTACTCAGCTGATTTCTACAAGCTGTCTAGATTTAAATGGTATCAGACATAAACAGTAAGTTTGCCTTCACAGATGCAATAATGTGATAAAAATGTTGATCATATTCTGCCTTTCTTTATAGCAATTTAATCATTATTCTAGGACAAAGGCAATTGCAGACCAAATGGTTCTTGCTGCTAATGGAACTTTACTCAAAGGTACATATAAAATATTTGGGGTTTTCCTATCATTAATAGTGCTAAGAGGTGTTCCATTCTCTGGATACTCATTTATCAATAAATAATATACTTCAGGTTAACTGAAATAATGATTTATTTTGTTTGTTTCTGCTCCTCCCTTTGGTGAATGATTAATGTGTATACCCAGACAGATCTGAGATTATATACAAACAATAGATGGGAGAATTCAGACAATTTAACCTTACTTCTCTAAATCATCTTAAAAGTTTACCAGTTTTACAGTAGAACCAGGAATTGTGCGTTTATTCCCTGTTCAGTCTATGATTTCAACCTTCACTGATAATACCAAACTCTAAGCACTATCCAGTGAGTCACTCTCATAATCCCCAAAGCCTTCCAGGTTTCTGGTAAGAATAGTTGCAGTTACTTAAACAGATTGGTGATATCAGGGTCGTATCAACTTCTCAAGTCACACATGCTTGAAGAGCTGTGGCTAAAATTCCATCTGTACATGGCAAGGAAAATATTTATTTTTGCTTTTACATATGTATTTTGCTATTCCTACTGATTTCCCTGAATTGAAAAGTTGACATTACAAATCAGGTGGGGTTTCAATTTTAGCATCCTTGATTAACTACTGAGTAAATCCCTACCACCTCTTGCCCACATAAAAGGGGTAATTGTGCTTGTTCTGAGGAGTCAGAGGTGTCTGCTTACTGATTAACATGTAAAGCTTAAAGTATTCATTTTGAGTTAAAATATTCTAACTCATTTGGAAGCCTCTGTTTAAGAAACCTCTTCCATTCTTTTGTGATGCCATTGAGCTGCAAGCAAGCAAGGTTTCTAAATACAGCAAATTGAATGATCTTTCAGTTTTGCATGTGTATACAACGATGGACAAATATGTACCTTATAAACTGATGTCTACAATAAATAGCAAAAGTCAATCAAGCAGGAGGCGTAGCTGAAGGAAATTTTGATTTATCCTGTCCATATCCAAATTCTTCTGTGGTCAGAGGGATTCAGGTTTTCAGGCTGCTAAGCTGGGGTCTTTCACTACTATTGAGTTCAATTTTATACAGAAATGAAAACAAGTTACTAGGGAGCCAAATCACTTAGAATGGTCAGACTGATCCTTTACTTCACAATGTAAAATTCAGACAATATATGTCAGCCACATGTTGATATCAAAGCTGTCTGAAAATCACGTTTTGTTCTCTCTCAAGGAGGGGATAAGCTCCATACTTGTGTGCTGCGTCCACCAGGCATATATGGACCAGACGAGCAGCGCCATCTGCCACGAGTAGCCGTATGTGTTAAGTAGCCAGCTCTGGAGGACACTGCAAGTGGTTGTAAGGGCATAGCATAAGTGGAAGTACCTTGAATACAGCTTTTAACTAAAGCTTGGTGACAGACCATTTGATGCGAGATAACAAATAGCATGATACGAGCATTGCAGAAATGGCAGGGATCAAGTAGTACTTTTAAGTGAAAAGAAAAAATGCCATGGTAGAATTTACATTGCTGATCATTTAATGGAAATAATGTCTTTTAAATATGCACTTCAGTTTCAGCCAAACACTATAATGTCACCGTATTTTACCACTGTATATCAGTGAAACAGTCCTTGATTTATAAAACCACCACCTGGTGTTTTTTTTCCCCGTGACACATTTCTTGTGCTGTAATTGTTTACAAATATAGCAAAGTCTAAGTATTCAGGCTGAGCCAAAATGTGTTACACTGCGTAATAAAGGAATAATGCAGTTACTTCATGTTTTCTGTTTCTACAGGTAAATATCCAGCGGAGATTATTTAACTTCAAGTTTGGGAATCACAAAGTTCAGATGAACTGGGTTCACATAGGAAATCTAGTACAAGCTCACATACTAGCTGCTGAGGCTCTCACCTCTGAGAAGGGATATATAGCTGTAAGTAAACAATATAAACATTGTGTCCCAGTAGCTTTAGGTCTCAAATAGGTTTAATTTTTGATGTTTTGTTGCTACTTCTCTTGGACTCATGAAGATAATTCTGGCTGCTGCACATCATGAAGAACGTTGGGTTTCTACCTAGTGAAATCATGCTCTGATCTACATTACATGATCTACATTACTCTGATCTACGTCATTAATCATGGTTACCTCTACTACCACCATGGGTCTGTGCAAAAGTATGAGACATGTTTGAGATCACAGTAAAGTCCAGTGATGGTAGTTTGCTAGTCTGATCTGTGTACATTCACTGCTGGCATGTTGTCCAGAAAATCAAGACTAGACAGGTAGGTATGAGAAAGAAAGTAAGAAAATGTGATCCTGTGTATAGTGTTTTTCTAATTGTTGTTCTCTACTTCTTTAACAGAGTGGCCAGGCATATTACATACATGATGGTGAAAATGTCGTATTTTCTGAATGGATAGTCCCTTTAGTATGTATTGCACACACATTCAGCTCCAATGCACTGTATGGGCACTATTCACATTGTTAACTAGAAGACCATACTAACTAGGTGAAGTTCAGTGCATGTTAATTACTGAATTACTTAACATTATAGTCAATCCTGTTCTCTCTGCATATCCCGAAGTTCCACTGGCTTGAAGGGAAGTTTTGGGTATGCGTAACTGTGGAGTTTGGCCCTTATTGTTTTGAGAGAATGTAGCTGAGAAGTATAGAACCTGCTACACAGCAGCAGCATTTCTGTAAAGCAAGCTCACAGTGTGCAAGAAGTTCCACTATTAGCCTCTGGCAGGCCTTCTATAACTGTTGCTTATTTCTTTGTTCTGCCATCAACTGCAGCGCAAAAGGGAAGGTTATTTAGAATCATATCTTAAAAGCTAAAAAGAGACAACATTATATTTTCATAAATATCAGGCTGGGATTTTGGGACCATGCTGAAGTTTTGATCCTGCAATGCCAACATGGAAAAGTCTTTCAGGAAAATTATTGCAGTAGAACAATGGGTCTGTATCTAACTGTAGTGAAGTATTCCAGTCTTGATCACTTGCTCCTTGGAAATAACATTGTTTCCTCTTTTACTATCTAGTAGCAGTCAAAGGGTGGGAGGGAAGTGGGCACCGGAGATTGAGTAGTGGGTTTCAATCACATTTCTTACTACCAGTTTTGATAGGAAGATGAGCTGGAAAAGTTTAGATACATGTTTTATCAGCAGTCATTTTCATGCTTTATTGACGCCCACAGCTTGGTACAAATTCTCAGATTCTCTTTCCTTTTATACCCATTCTAGTTTGAAAAATTAGGCTACAGAAAACCCTGGATACATATTCCCGTTCTCCTCGTTCATATAGCAGGTAAAAATAATAAAATACATACTTAATTATTTTGCCTTTTTTTTTTTACTTGTATTGTTATTTCTATAAAGCTACATAATAGTTTTATATAATGCAGGGTCCCAAATTGTAGGAATTATGTAACTTAACGTTATTCTAATTAATAATAATCGCTTATGCCATTTGGCATTAATTATACCAGATAAAGTTTAAATGAGTCCATCATGTACTTTATAAATTAAATACTGCCTTCTACCACCTTAATTGCCTCCTCTGATACCAGTAGGAATTACAGGATGTGCGGTGTCAGCATTATCTCATTCTGTTGTTATCCAGCTGTCTAATTAAGTAACATTCTGTTTCACAGCCACTGTGATGGAGTATCTGCACGTGATACTAAAGCCTGTTTTTAGCTTTACACCTTTCTTGACAAGGAATGAGGTAAATGTATAAAAAGAGAAAATGTTTATATATCTCTGACAAAAATTCTCGTGAAGTTATGTGATATGCCCTTTGGATGCAGACAGGATTGTCTGCATTAGAGCTCTGGTTTTCCGCTTAGGGCACAGTCCATTCAGGGCTTACACAGTCATTCTGTAGCCTGATTTTTCCATGGCCACCCCTTATAAAATCATCAGAAATTAATCCTTACTTGATGATCCAGAGAATACCCTAGAGGTGTAAGACAGAGCGACTGACACGGAGCTGGCACTAAGAGGAAAACAGGCACTACATCGCTGTTTCCAGCGAGCTGTCCTATGCTGTGGAACTAGTTGTTGAAGGAAAGAGGTCCAAGAGCACAGAGCAAGAGTCTCAGGTCGAAGTGGTAGCAGTTACCATAGTACCAGGCTAGCCAACAATTAGGAAGTCCACTAAAAATAATTCTAAATTGGAATGAAAAGTCACTTTTCTAAAAAACAAGCAAACAACTAACTTCTGGACAAGTTAATTTTGATCTAACTTAATTTTTGTACAATATTATAATATAAGCCAAAATGCTTGAATCCATCATCTAGTCTCTTACTGTATTGTAACATGATAGGACACTGAAGGGAGCTCATTAACTTCTGCTGTAGATTTTCAGTTACTCCACAATGTATCTGGTTTTGCACTTACTTCTAGATTAGCTATATATCCGAAGCAGAAATCGAGTCTATGCAACTTAAGCATTTTCACGGGTACCAGGCATTCAGAGGTGGAGGATGTAACTCCCCAAAGCACGTCCTTTCCACTCCTTGCGTGATGCATTTCTGCAGAGTTGAGAAGCCACACCACTCTCCTGTGATACGGTCATCCAGTTCCATTGCACATTTCTCTGTGCAGAAGAGACAGTTTAAGGGAAGGGTGCTGATCTGTTGCACAGGATTTCCTTAGTCCTTTATCTCACATTCACAAGTGAGAAGTTGGTACCATAAACTCCTCCTGCACCCCATCAGCTACATCAACTCATTCTGTTAGCTCCAGACAGAATCCAGCTCCAAAATGTATAGATTTTTGCATGTCTATGTTCTTGGTTTTAATTTCATGGTAATATCATTGTTGACATATTTTCATCCAAGTTCTAGAAGATCAGATATTAAAGTCGCTTCCGTAACTGTCCTTTTGGATTTTAGGTGTGGAACGTTACTGTGACTCACACTTTCCGAATAGACAAGGCACAAAATCAGCTGGGTTACAAACCAGAGAAATTCTCATTTGCTGATTCTGTGGATCATTATATTAAAACAAGACCCACTTGCCAAGAAGATCACTTGCTCCTTAAAATGCTGTTTGCTTTTGGCATTTTAAGTTTGATCATTCTTTCTTTTTTCTAAAATTGAATAACCTGTTCCAGAAAACCTAATTTTATTTCTGAGTATTAATGATCTGGTTGTAGTACATTCCTCAGTCATTTTGGACTTTATTATACTTAAGATGACACCAACCCCACAAAAGTGAAAATACAGGGCACATCAGGAAATGTTCCCAAAGAACAGCAGAGTGTCACAAAATCCAAGGAGTTCACCGCTACTGAGTGCAGGAATTGTTTTAGTGGATTTTCATTAATTGATCGCTTCATGCTGAGAATGATTTTTCTGAAAATGATAATTCTGGAGGGTAAGAAATTGGAAGAAGAGTCCCACTGTGGGACTGCAGTGCTGTAAGAAGTCCAGTAGCTCCGATGAAGAGAAGGTTGACTGAATTCCTCTAACGAAGCCACTGCTACAGCTACTGTCTATTAGTCTGAGGAATTATGAAGACCTGGGAAATACTATGAACAATATGAGAAGTAAATATTTATGAATGACAGGTGGTGAGAGGACTGAAAGTCATATTTATGTAAAATAGTTTTATTGTTCAAAAGCTTTGCAAAAATCTAATAAATAATATTATGTATGTTTGTACATAAAATAATATCATTTTGATGCAATAATAAGTTATCACCAAACCAAATACTGGTTTTACGGAGCCTGTGGGAAGGGGGAGGGAGGGCATGTAAGACCTTGGAGTCTGGCGCACTGTCACTGCTACCTTGCCATGTAAATTAAGCCAGGTCTGACTATCCATAACCCTGCACCAGTGCTGGCACACTCTGTTCAGTCAGCAAATCGCCACTACAGGGTGAGCAGGCAAGCCAAGCACTAAGACCTGAGGGAGGATCCAGCCTCTCTCTTTTCCCCCTTCTTAAGACTTAGGTTAGTTGCTAGTTGGGCGGATTGTACTACGTGAGCTACACGTGCACTCCATGTGCATAGCCCAGACAGATTTCCATAGGGTTACCTGTCACAAGGAGTTTCTCAGGGACCGGCTTTGCTCTCGCCAGGGAGCAGCTGCTCCTTCTCTTGCACCCCGCAGGGATCAGGAGAGCTGGAGTTGCCAGGGGTGGGTCACAGAAGTGAGCTCTGCCATCTGGTTATCTTCACTCTGGATTTATTTTCTTTCTTTTTGCATTATACAGGATCTTTAAGACCTCTAAGTTTATGGAGACTCTCTACTTGTATGTTTACATTTACAGGGTGAGTAGGAGACCTAACAGCAACCCTACAAGAATAAAACATTATAGGTGAAAGATGATACACAGTGACAGGAAAGTGTGTGAGCAACCACAATTACCACTGCATCTTATGTGAGCAAAGATTTGGTTTACTCTAATTTTATTTAAACAAATAGTTCTGTGTATGGTGAAAGCAGTAAAGCCTGGTCTGTTGTGGATGAGCATTTGGAAATTGTCCTCATCCATACAAATTAAGCTTACATGTTCCCTTAGCAGGGGCATTGCTCAGCCCTCTCCTATTCCGTGCTACCTATTGTCAGGAAACTTAAAGAAACTTGGTATATATGAGACCTTTATCCAAGTTTGATTAAAACCAGGTAAGTTCACAGTTTATCAGTACAGAGGTGCAACTGGCTGACAGACAAGTGAGCACTGCAGAAGGCAGTGCATAAGCCTGTGTTCCCTAGAAATGCAGAATAGAGAATCACAAGTGTAAAGTTACAACCAGCGTGAGCATTTGAACTGTATGCAAACACACAACTTGCTTTTAAATTAGTTATTTATGAATCTTTCATATATTGCATTTAATAGAGGAATAGCTCAAGCCTGCATCCCGGATTACACCAACAGCTTTCAGTAGAGAGGTGGGGCAGTTGGCTGCAGCCCAATGGGAAGTGCAGGCTGTGGCCTTTTTTTGGGTGCTCCTCTAATGATTAACCAAGGAACATTTTGGCTTTGTGGCTGCAAGGCCCCCACCATTCCACTCCTGCAATAGCAAACCTTTGATGTGTTATTACAGGTAAGGTGCATTTTATATCACTGTTACAACAATACTGATTAATACTAACTAGCTTAATTCAATTGATCTATCAATTAGAAATCCAGTATTTGAAGTTTTAAGACAATTTTTAGTACCTGTTCGGAATAGCCAGTTGTCTCATTTCTGTCAGTCTTTACTGAGTGTTAGTTTAAGCTGGATATTGTTCAAGTTACTTTAACATAATTGCAAATGTGTCTTTAAGTGATTAAAATTTAATATGAACGTTCAGACATGGCACAGCTATAACAGAGGAGGTAAACTTGTTCAAGGTTTAATTTTTGCCTGGAATGGGGAACTCTGAAGGTCTGCAGCTCCTGACCCTTTTCGCATCCTCCCAGGCACGAGCGACCACAGACCCACTGCCAGCTCAGGAGGGCAGGGACCTTCGTGCCTGCTTGTTCATGATCATGTTTCCTCTTTGGGAATTCCTGCTCGTTTGGAGGTGTTTCTGATGCTCTGCACCTCTCTGCGCTATGTCCTGCCGACTGTCCAACCGGTAATCAAGAGGCGGTGGATTTTCTCCTGAACAACCTTTTCAACAGGTATCTCAGTGTGGATGGAGCCCTAGTTACTGCGAGGATGCTTTAGTGCAGTGGTCGCGGCTGTGTGAAGGCACATGGAGGTAAGAGCCACCAGGGGATTCTGTGGGGTCCCAGGGATGCTCTGGGAAGCCAGGAATGCTATGGGATCCCAGGGATACTGTGGGCTCCCAAGGGTGCTGTGGGATAGGCAGTATCTCCGCAGGCTTTTGGGGTCCCAAAGACGCTGCAAGATGAGTGTGACCCGGAGGTGCCGCGGGACCCCCGCCTTCGGGTGCGCGATGCCGGCGGTGCCTGGGTGCGGGAGG